TCATTGCAATAATATTGTTAATATTGAGCACAACAGCACGTAACCTTTTTATTCGATTTTTAACAGGTTAATATTAACTTAAGTCGTAAAAATCTAAAGTTTTTACTTAGCACTGCTTTTTAATTTTCTTTTCAGTTAAATTCTTGCATCAACGCGTTAATTTCTGGTTATTTATATATAAATAATTGAAATTACTATATTTATTGTTACAGAAAATAAAAATGATCTTCTTGCAATTGCTAAAAGTTTAAATACAAATAATCCACGTATTGCTCTGAAAAACATAAAATTAATTGTCAATAATAATAATAGTAAGTATTACAGTATTATAATTCTAAAACTACATGCAATATATTGCATTTCTATTTTTTACAGTAATTATACTTTTTTTGTAGAAACTACAGAAATACCACAAGATGCTTGCATTATCAATATGAACTATACTAAAAAGAATACTAATACTAACAATTTATATAATGCTATTGATTTTGACAATAATGTAGTATCATTTCTTTATAATGGACAAGGCCACAATGCAAATGATCAAAGTAACATCAATTATCTTATAAAACACGTTGATTCTAATAACGGATTTAAAACGAAAATTATTGGTAATACTGATAATTTTACAAATAATAATGCCGATAATAATGGAAATGATAGCATTGTAGATAATATTAATGACAATAATTCTGCGAATAGTACTGATTTTGATAACAACGGGACATTTTCTAATGAACATGATCACACTGCAATAAATGATGAAAATTGTGTAACTAATAATTCTAACAAAATTGTTGGTTGTGATAATGCTATGATAATTTCTAGTGAGTCTAATAATGAGCAGAATAGAGTAAAGGCTACTAAACTTAACATTACATTTTCCTGTAATGATAGAAATCATAATGTAGTAGATAGTACTATTAATGCTAACAATTCTGCAAATGATATTGATTTTAATAATGTGATATCTTTTTGTGATAATAGTAATGGTTGTAAAACGGTAGATAGTAATATCAGTATCAATAATTCTACGAATGATAATGATTCTAATATTGATATATCACTTTTGTGCAATAATAATAACATTAATGCTAATAATTCTAAGAATAACTGTGAGTTTGATAATAATGTGATATTTTCTTGTGATGATGACAATAACTGTCATGTAAATACTGATATTGATATTAATTTTATGAACAGTAATAATTATCATAATAATAATCTGACATTTTCCAGTGATAATGACAATTTCAATGTGTCTGAAACGGGTATTGTTCTCAAAGATGTCATGATATTTCCTTTTAACGATGATTATAATTCTAGTATCTTAAATGATCTCACTAACGCCAAAGCTTCTATAAATTATAATAATAGTGATAACAATATGATTTCCTGTGATGATGAAAATATTAACGACAACATTGCTTGTGCAAACACATTAAGTAATGATAGTTATAATAATATGATTTCCCGTGATGATATTAATGACAATATTGCTTCTGCAAACACATCAAGTACTTCGGAATATCTACCTTCAGCATCGGAAATTACAATTGAAAAAGAAATTACGGAACATGAAAGCTTCCGCAATAATGTTTCTGCAACTAATGATAAAAATTCTTCAGAATCACTGATAAATCTTTCTTCTATCAATACATTTGGTTGTAGAGAAGACAATTTATATGTTCCATTTTCTCAACCTAAGGGACATCAAAAAAAAAATTTTTGCTACTATTGCAAAAAGTTTCAGAGTAAAATTGCACGTCATTTAGAAAACGTGCATAAATTGGAACCTGAAGTAAAGAAATTTGTATTATTACCAAAAGGTGATCATATTTTTCAATTCTGTATAATTATTTAAGTTTATAGTATATTTTTTTATAAATATTGATTATTTGTTAAATATAATATATTAATATGTTATAATTTTTATTAATATATTTACATTATATATACATTATTTACATTATACATACATTATACTTAATATTCTCATTGCAGGTAATTTAGAAAGAAAACAAATTATAGAGTCTATTAGAAAAAAAGGAATTTCATACATAATACGGATCCTTTCTTAAATACGGGAGAATTAATTGTTTGTCGAAGGCCTGCCAAAAATAGTTGCAAAACAGTACAAGATTTTATAAGTTGCGCAAAGTGTAAAGGATGGTTCACTAAAAATAATATCAGGCATCATTTTAAAGAATGTGTAGGAGAATCCAAAGGCAGAAATGTACAAGTTTTAGGACGTGCTGTGATGGGCAGAATTCATGAATGTGCAAGTGAGACAGTAAGAAAAGTTTTATTCCCAGTTTTGAGGGAAGATGATGTTACACAAAGTATTAAATATGATAAATTAATAATAACATTTGCGAACAAATTATGTATCAAGTACAATCATCAACACCAACAAGATATGATACGTGCTAAACTTCGATTATTAGGAAGGTTTCTTATCGCAATGAAAGAATATAACTCTAACATAACAGAGTTTTTCTGATATATATAATCCTTCCATATATGATGATTGTCTGAAAGCAGTAAATAAAGTAGCTCATTTTGATGATATTAATAAAAAATATGGTGCACCATCAGTTGCGTCAAATATTGGGACATATTTAAAACAAATTGGTAATTTGTTAATAACTGAATGCATAAAAGCTAATGATATAGAAAAGCAAAATGCTACAGAAAACTTTTTAAAATTATTACAAGAAGATTATGGTATATCTATAAACAAAACAGTAGAAGAAAATATGACACAAAATAAAAGACAGAAAAAAGTTATGCTTCCATCTATGGAAGATATAAAAAAATTACACTCATATCTAAATAACGAAAGAAAATCATTGTATGCAAAACTTCAGAAGAAATTTAAATACGAAACATTGCTAGAACTTGCAAAAGTTACACTTACATCAATGCAAGTTTTTAATAGAAGAAGAGCAGGAGAAATAGAACGGGTTACTATTGACGATTTTATTACTCGCGAAGGTATAACGAAAGAAACTCATTTAGATTTATACAAATCATTAGGCACAAAATTACAGCAGGTAAAAATTATTATTACTATTATTTATTTATAAATATTATGTATAAATATTATTTATTTACAAGTATTATAATTAAATTACGCACAATATGGTATATGATGCAAAATAATAATCTACATATAACTTTTGTATATAGGTTGCTGATAAATACGTAAGATTCTTAATTCGTGGAAAATTGGGACGTACAGTGCCTGTGATTTTAGACATGGAATTAGTACAATGTGTTGAACTAATTTTGAACCAGCGAAAGGATGCAAATGTTCCTGAAAAAAATCCGTATGTGTTTGGCATACCTAGTAGTACCAAACGCCATTTCAAATATTTAAGAGCGTGTATCCTTATGCGATATTTTTCTAAAAAATGTGATGCACAAATACCACATTCTTTAAGAGGTACTGAATTACGTAAACATATTGCTACAACATGCATTACGTTAAATTTATCTGACAATGAAGTGGATGATTTGGCGAACTTTATGGGACATCACGAGAAAATTCATAAACGCCATTATCGACAGTCAATAGCAGCTGTAGAGATAGTTCGTATGACGAAATTTCTTGAAGCAGCATTAGGTGAAAATGAGCAACAGCAATCTAATAATAGTGATTCAGGTATATACACTATTTATCTTATTATATATATGCCACAAGTACTTTTTATATATTAATTTTTGTATAAAATATAATATATTAATTATTGTATTCCTTTTTTAAACTTTTCTGCATTCTTAATATATCTATTTAATTAGAAGAAAAAATCAGACAAAAGTCCGTATAAACCAAAACTTATGAAATTAAGGCTAATGTGTGCCACGATCATGGATGTCTGTGTAGAAATAAAAGTAGTAATAATGAATGCAACTGTTCACGAACGCGATGCGAGAGAAAGGATCGCGCGGCACCAAAGGATGAGTCACTTTTATATTTGAAAAAAAGACTTTAATATTATCCACAATTAAAAAAACAACACTTTAACAAACTTTTCACAATAGTAATTATTTACAGAAAAATCGGAATCAAATCAGAGTGCGGAGTAAGCGGCGGTCGTCAACGTGGTTTTGCGGTTTATCTAATAAGCGGTTTGTGATATGTGTTTCACGGCGGAAAGGCGATAAGATGAAAAGTTTCGTCGACGCCCCTTTTATCAATGCGGTGCTAGGGCCCGTCACGTCATCACGCACCAATTGATTTCGATCACTTCAAAAGTGGTGATGTGACGCAAGGGCGCCGAACGTTATTGGCTGCCCGGTTCTCGCGCGGAGTAGGCACGGGCCTGACATGCGCGAGCGGATCGATTATTTTATTGATTGGCCTTCCAGAGCCACGTGATCGCTTTGCGCATGTGTTTTGCGACATCGGCAGTTATATCTCCGTGCGGTACCCGTTGCGGGATTGTTATTTATTATGACATTTTAATTGCCCTAATGATTTATGTACGTAGATATTTTGATCTGGGTGAATTTTTTTTCTATTGTTTATTTTACCGCGACGCATGATAATAACAACTGAAATAGATTAGAATGGATAGGCTTACTTACTTGAAATTGCATGAAATAACTCGGATTTATTTGCAATCTCAAACATCCCGCCCGCCTTGTTACGTTGTGACGAAACAATTCGTTGATGATTGCTGGCCGCGGGCCGCGCTTTATTGGTCGGTGATTGTGGCGGTGCGGCTGCGCGTCACGACGCACGTGGTGATCGCGTGTCGCGCTAGACTCGATCAGCTGTGAAATATCCGCCACGTGTTTGGTGAATACCGCGAGTGAGAGTGGTCGCGTAAGACAATGATGCATTATGATGGCATAATTAATGCTCCGTTAGGTGTACAAATGGCGTGTAGTGTTTGAATCGTGTGTGAATTGTGTATTGTGTAAAGTGTGAAAGATGTGACCGGAAGTGTGTATAATTGTGTGTATCGTGTGTGGTGTGCGTCGCGTATCTTTCACGCATCGGTAATCGTCGTGTCTGCTTCAACACCGGGAAGCAGGACGATCTTGACGAGCGGACGCATGAGCTCGGAAGACGCGGTCTTGATGGTGACCACGCGCACCACGCCGTCGTCTCCGTGATGCAGCTTCGTGATCCGGGCAAGCGGCCATCGACTTGGAGGAGAGATCTCGGAGCGCACCAGGCAGAGAGCTCCGATGTGGGGTGCCGTCTCATTCTTCAGCCACTTTGAACGAGAGGTGAGTCCGTGGATGTACTCCTTCGACCACCTCCCCCAGAAGTGATCTCTCATTTGTTGTAGATGTTGCCATCGTGATCTCGAGGAACCAGGTTCGTCTTCCTGCAGCGGCTCAGGGATGGCGAGAAGAGGTGCCCCGATCAGGAAGTGTCCGGGAGTGAGCGCTGAAACATCGTCTGGATCGTCGGAGAGTGCCTGCAACGGTCGAGAATTGAGACATGCTTCAATTTGAGTGAGGAGTGTATTTAATTCCTCGAAGGTGAGGGTGGTTTCGCCTATCACCCTCCGCAGGTGATACTTGGCAGATTTTACAGCGGCCTCCCATAATCCACCGAAGTGCGGGGCCGCCGGCGGATTGAAGTGCCAGCGGATACCCTCCTTGGCAGCTGCGCGTGCGACGCCTCGACCCTCCGGAGATGCCGCAATGAAGAGCTCTCGTAGGGTGCGGTCAGCTCCAACGAAGGTCGTGCCGCAGTCGCTGAAGATGTCGGTGCAGAGACCCCGTCGGGAGACAAATCGGCGAAGAGCGGCGATGAAGGCTTCCGACGAGTAATCTGAGACGAGCTCTAGATGGATGGCCTTCGACCAGAAGCAGATGAAGACCGCAATATAGCCCTTGTAGGCCCGGTGACCGCGGCCCTTGCTGGTCCGGATGAGGATTGGCCCCGCGTAGTCCAGTCCAGTGCGGAGGAATGGCCGTGTTGGAGTGACCCGGCTGTGGGGCAGATTGCCCATAGGTGGTTGTGGTGTTGTCGCTCGCCACCTTGTGCAGGTGACACAGCGATGTAATCGCTGCTTCACCGCTGAACGTCCTCGAAGCACCCAGAACCGCTGTCGAAGCAATCCCAGAGTCAGTTGCACTCCTCCGTGCAAGGTCCGGCGATGACAAGAATCGATCAGCAGTCGAGTCAGCCATGAGGTTGCTGGGACGATCATTGGGTGTCTCTCGTCCTGTGGCAAGAGTGAATTCTTCAGACGTCCTCCCACTCTTAACACGCCTTGTGCATCAATGTATGGAGTCAATTTGGCCAACGGACTGCGTGTTGCAACAGTGCGACCTGCGGAGATGGCGGTGACCTCGTCAGGGAAGTGAAGTGCTTGTACTCCTCGTAACCAGTGCGACAGAGCTACTTCCAACTCGTCCGAGGTCAGTGGCCGTCCAGGTGTGTTAGTTGGTTCTGCCGTGCGAAGCCAGCGACGACACCATGCTGTGACTCGTAACAAGCGGTGCAACGACGAGAAGCGAAGAAGGAGCTCAGGTTCCATGACGACCAGGCTCTTGGTCAGTAGGCTAACGGCTCGTCTCTCAGAAAGGTCGTCCTCCTGGGTGTTCACCTCGGCGATTGGCCATGCAGTCTCTTCCTCCAGCAACCAGGTAGGTCCCGTCCACCATAATGTGTGATTTGTAAGTTCCGACGGAGTAACGCCCCTTGATGCACAATCCGCAGGGTTGTCTTGACCCGCCACGTGTCTCCAGAGTGCATTTGGCAACAGGGTTTGGATGTGGGACACCCGATTGGCAACGAAGGTCTTCCACCGCAAGGCGTGTCCTTGGATCCACTGAAGCGTGACCTTCGAGTCAGACCACAGATGAGTTGGTGTGTCTGTCAAGTCGAGCGTGGTTTGAACATGCTGTGTCAACGTGGTGAGTAAGGCGGCGGCGCAAAGCTCGAGTCTTGGCAAGGTCACTTGCTTGACAAGTGCCACCTTGCTCTTGGCCATTAGCAGCTTCACTGACGTTCCCTCTTTTTCAGCGATGCGGAGGTATACGGCTGCGGCGTACCCTCGTTCGGATGCATCGGCGAAACCATGGAGTTGCAGCGATGAGTCTCCACGTCCAGTGCCTAGCCAGCGAGGTATTCTCAGGCGGTCGAGGAGATGGAGGTCACCCAACAGTTGCTGCCAACGATGAGCGTCGGCTGTCGGCAGTGGGGCATCCCAATCCAATCCCTGAAGCCACGTAGTCTGGATGAGGATCTTCGCGCGGATGACGACTGGAGCGAGCCAACCCATTGGATCGAAGAGACGTGCGGTTTCAGAGAGGACATGTCTCTTCGTGTATTCCTTTATAGACGGTGGACGCAGCACGAAGGAGAACTGATCGTCTTGAGGATGCCATCGAAGTCCTAGCGTTGAGTGGCTCTCCCCATTCCATGAGTGCTGCGATTGTTGCATGCGATGATCCTGCGGGACGCCTGTCAGTATCTCCTCATTGTTGGCTGCCCACTTTTTCAACGGAAATCCACCCGCCTTACAGAGGTTGCGTAGTTCCGTCTGGAGGACGATTGCTCCCTCGAGGGTGGTTGCTCCGGTGACGACGTCATCGACGTAGCAATCCCGTCGCAAGGCCACAGCGCCTCGAGGAAAATGCTCCTCTTCATCCTCAGCTAGTTGGTGAAGAGTCCGTATGGCGAGGAATGGAGCGCAACCGAGACCGTAAGTGACCGTTCTCAACTGGTATTCCTGCACTTCATCGTCCGGAGAATGCCGCCACAGGATCGTCTGGAAGCGACAATCGTCTGGATGCACGAGAATCTGCCGGTACATCTTTTCTATGTCGGCGACGAGGACGTAGCGGTGTTGACGCCATCGGAGCAGCACGTCGGCGAGTGTCGGAAGCAGGTTTGCACCAGTGAGGAGATGCGTGTTCAGCGCTTCCCCTGCTCGCGTTTGCTGCGATCCGTTGAAGACGACCCTCAACTTGGTGGTGGTGCTGGATTCCTTGAAGACCCCATGATGTGGTAAGTAACACTTGTCTTGACGATCAATTACCGCAGTGTTTAGCATCGTCATGTGTCGCAGGTCTTCGTATTCCCGCATGAAGCTGCGGTAGAGGTCACCGAAGCGAGGATCCTGGACGCAGCGTCGCTCCATGGCTGTCAGGAGACGTTCCGCTGGTCTGCGAGTCTCCTCCAGTGCTGTTGGCGGTGAGGAAAATGGCAACCTCACCACATATCTCCCAGCGGCAGTGCGGGTGTGACTGCGCACAAAGAGCTCCTCACATCTTTGTTCGTCGGGAGTGAGGGATGCGACAGCGGTGGGCTCCTGTTCCTGTTCCCAGAATCGACGCACCAGATCAGCGAGGTCATAATCAGCGGTGCAGCGGAACGTGCGGCGGTGATCCTCGGTTGCTGTTGCATCTGACCCCCCGGAGAGAATCCAACCAAGCATGGTCTTCTGGGCGATCGGCATCTCTGGACCGCCCTTGCGTACGCCCTCCTCGATAATAAACGAGCAGACCTCCGCTCCCAGGAGTAACTCCGCGGGGTCGTCGTCCTGGAAGGTTGGGTCGGCCAGCTGGAGGCCTTGAATGTGAGGCCAACGTTGGTTGGTCCTTGATGCGGGACCTTGCGTCAGCAGGAGGCGCGGCAGAACGTATGCCACCACGGAGAGCTTGGCGTTGGTCACGTCTGAAGATATATTCAGCGTGACCTTGCCGCGGGTTGGCCCTGGACGGGCTCCTCCAACCCCGAAGATGGACAGTCCTGTGTGAACTCGAGGTAGTCGTAATCGTTGAGCCACCGTTTCGGAGATGATGGACAGCTCAGAACCCTGATCGAGTAGAGCTCGCACTGCGTGAGGAGATCCATACCTGTCAGCTATGTTGACGCGTGCCGTTGCTAGGAGGATGGCCTTTCGATCCTCGCTCTGATGGGTAGTGGCTAGTGTCGTGGCAAGTGAGGAAGCTGATGCGGCGGCAGACCTGTTGACCTCGGAGGCCGGAGACGCGGTGTGTGCCTCGTGCAACATTGTGTGGTGACGTGCGTTGCAAGTGAAGCAGTTTTTCTTCGATTGACATCGTGAGAGAAAGTGGTTCCCCAGGCAATTGTAACATAGCTTGTTCGTCTCCACGAATGTCTTTCGTTCCGCAGAGGACTTGGCCTTGAACTCACGGCAGGCCATGAGCGTGTGTTTCTCCCGGCACAGTGCACATTGTGGAGATGCCGGTCCGTGCTTGGTGACGTGAGATTTGGCCGCTCGTGCTTCGCCTGAGTGTTTGTTGATCGCTTTCGGTCGTACAGCGTTGAGTGTCAGGATCCGTCGGCTAATGAAATCGAGAAGTGTTTCGAGCGATGGTGGTTCGGCGGATCCTGATGTGGATGACTCCCATTCGAGGCGAGTGGTTGCGTCGAAGAGCTCCGTGACGAGGTAATTGAAGAGGTCCATCCCGTGCGTGTCGATCGGACGACCGATGCTCTCCTGCGCGTTGACGACGGTGGTGGCGGCGTTATGGATGCGACTCAACTCATCGGCGGTATCTCCCTTCATCTTTGACACGTTGACGAATGTGGCAAAGTTGGAGCGGATAAGTTCTCTCTTGTTCTCATAATGTTTGCTCAAGATTGCCCAAGCGCGATCGTAATTGTCGCCGGTGACAGGTAATGATCGTATTAATTTTTCAGCTTGTCCGGTCACGCTCGAACGAAGATGGTGAAGACGCTCGATGTTTGAGATCGACGTGTTGTCTCCGATGACGGAGAGGAAAAGGTCTCGGAAGGATGGCCAATCTGCGTAGTTGCCAGAGAACAGCGGCACCTTGATACGCGGCAACGAGGACCTTGAAGCGCCCTCGGTATTCCGGCGAACGGGCGACGGAGGAGACTCCTGGAATTGCTCGGCGTAGCCATCCAGCAAGCTCCGTTGTGCCACATAGAGGTTTTCGGTATCCTCATGCAATCCTGATTTGACATAATCGCTTTCATTGAATTTATCTTTCAGACCTGAGCGGATGAGATCATGCTGCGTCTCAAATTTCGACCACAACTGGTCAATGATCCTGGTGCGAGTGGTGACGGCGCTGGCGGTGATGTTGGCGTTCCCCAGCTTTCTGAGATACTCTACTGAGCGTGCGATGCGAACTTGGACTTCACGCTGACAGTCAATCAGCGTGGGCAGATCCATCTTCGATAGTTTGCTGGATGCTGGCGGACACTCACTTCACGCACCGATGGAACTCACGTTCGCGAACTTGCGGGTGCCGGCTCAACGAGAGCTCCGGCTCGAAGGACCAAAAATATATGTTCACGAACGCGATGCGAGAGAAAGGATCGCGCGGCACCAAAGGATGAGTCACTTTTATATTTGAAAAAAAGACTTTAATATTATCCACAATTAAAAAAACAACACTTTAACAAACTTTTCACAATAGTAATTATTTACAGAAAAATCGGAATCAAATCAGAGTGCGAAGTAAGCGGCGGTCGTCAACGTGGTTTTGCGGTTTATCTAATAAGCGGTTTGTGATATGTGTTTCACGGCGGAAAGGCGATAAGATGAAAAGTTTCGTCGACGCCCCTTTTATCAACGCGGTGCTAGGGCCCGTCACGTCATCACGCACCAATTGATTTCGATCACTTCAAAAGTGGTGATGTGACGCAAGGGCGCCGAACGTTATTGGCTGCCCGGTTCTCGCGCGGAGTAGGCACGGGCCTGACATGCGCGAGCGGATCGATTATTTTATTGATTGGCCTTCCAGAGCCACGTGATCGCTTTGCGCATGTGTTTTGCGACATCGGCAGTTATATCTCCGTGCGGTACCCGTTGCGGGATTGTTATTTATTATGACATTTTAATTGCCCTAATGATTTATGTACGTAGATATTTTGATCTGGGTGAATTTTTTTTCTATTGTTTATTTTACCGCGACGCATGATAATAACAACTGAAATAGATTAGAATGGATAGGCTTACTTACTTGAAATTGCATGAAATAACTCGGATTTATTTGCAATCTCAAACAGCAACAATGAAACGTTACGTTTGGAACCTATTAAATCAAAGTATGAATATGATATATTCATTGAAATGGATTCAAATTGAGAATACGTTTCATTATTGTGTTCATTCTCCTTTACTCAATTTTTATGCATCGACGTCCGCGGTTGTAGCATATATTAACCCTTAGTTTCAAGAATTGGTTTACACATATATATACATATATAATAATTATCATAATATTGTATTATTATTAACAGAAGAGGAAGAGATGCAAGAAACAAACAAAGATACTTCGAGTGCAGAATCGGAAAACGATGCCGAAACATGTATGATAAGTTCACGTAAGCCTTCTTTATTACGAACAGAAAGGAAATTACCGAAATTTCTTAGCGTAACAGATGGACAACAAAAATCTGTAAAAAAGAAAATCGTGCATCAAAACCATACAATAGTAAATAATGACAATGATTCTGACGAAACTTATTCCCCAAAGATAAAGAAACGTCGCAGTAGTAAGTTTATTTTCTCATTTTTACATATTGTATTCAGTTTTTATAAATTTATCAAGTCAGAGTGGATTTTCTTTTAAATATTATTTAGTATTATATTTTCATGTGACTATGTCAAAGTATATTAGTATATTAAGCTTTTATTTAAAATGCATTTTTTGATAGAATTTTAATGTACATAATAACAATATTTAATTAAAAAATAATAATGATAAATGATAAAGGTTCCACACACATTAGCTTAATTTAATTATATATTTATTTATATTATTTGTATTTTATATATTATTTTATATTATTTTATATTATTTTATTTTTGTATTCCTATTTCTTTTTATTCTTTTACTTATGACGTTATAATTTTGATATTTTTTTATTAATGAAAGTTTGTCAGTACTCTGAGAAAAATTTTAAAGTAATTTTATTCTATTAGTAATATAAATAAAAATACATTAAAATAAAATTTAAGTAAATTATTGCTTTTTATATAGAAATATTTATTCATAGATAATTAATTTATTTTGTAGCATCTCCATTTGGTATAACAAAACGAAGACGTTGGACGGAAGAAGAACGTAATACAATATTGAAAGAATTTCAAAAAGAAATTACCACTTCACAGCTGCCATCTAACAAAAAAATTTCCTGTGTAAAAGAAAAAAATAAGTGCTTATTTAATCGATCCGTTGCTCAAATTAAAACGTGGATCCATAACTATATATCTGGCAAAATTAAGCGTCATTAAATGAATAAATATTTTTTCAGAAAATATTTATTTAGTCAAAT